TATACGGTAGTTGGTGGCTTGGTTTTCTAAGTTCTAGAAAATACAATTTTTCTCAGTTTTCTTCTTCTCGTTGCTGTTTTAATTTGTCCCATTCCATGACCATGATCCTTAGCGTTCCAGCAAGATTCAGTGTTACGTGACGTCATAGTGATATTAGGCAATTACGACCAGTCGTGATATCTTCCTGGCATGGTTCATGAGTGTTTGACGCTCTGAAGGCACTATAGTCCACCCTAAATTGATCATGACGCTTGATCATATCGATCAGAAACGATAACGTAAGTCTTATGGATAACACGATCACGGTTCCTCCTCAGTAGGCTACGAGAAGTAGCATATCAGAAAATACATAACAGGAATGTGAAAAACGTAAAAGAATTTCCAATTCGTTTTGATTTGATCAAGTGCTTTTTTCTTCATGTTTTTGTTCTCTGGAATATTTTTCGATGTATTCTAGCACTTGAAGTGAAGAAAATCCTTGAATGTCACATCTCACATCAAAGAGAATTTCTTTCAATTCCTCGGCTTCGCCAGGCCTCGAGGATATGAGGACCACTGCACCATTCAACATCTTGCCTTTCATGATTTTGGCAATCAAAGCAGGAACAGGTATTTTTTCATGAGGGTCGTTTGGGTATCTTGTCTCAAAGTCGCCGGTGATTTTCTCTCGATGCGGTTTATACTCATTATATCCGTCAAGAATGATGAACAGCTTCTCAGGATTTTCAATCATGTACTGCAGTAATGACTCGTCTATCACCAAGTGCTCGTTCAGTAGGGAGGACTGATTCAAGATATCACATAAGTCAAACCTTTTTTCTTCTTCTTCTAGAAGTTGGCAGAATGTCAACATGAATACAAACTGAAAATCAGGTACTTTGGCATTTTCTTGACCTTCCTCAAACAATCGGTTATGCGACCAATCCCGTACCAGCATGCGACAAAAAAGGGATTTTCCAATTCCTGCTTTGCCCGTCAACAAGATAGATTTAGGATTGGTTTTGCAAGAAGCTGTAGATTTCTGATCATCATTTTCCGGGCAAACAAATATTTCTGAACAGTTCTTGAGTTTTGTACAACTTTCTTGAATTTCATCAAATTGCCTCCTGCCAAATCTCCTTTCATCGGGTTCCTTGAAGTGTTTTGTTACAAGTTTGAAAGTCACATTCGTAAAAATGTCATCGGTTCTATTTTTTTCGTCTTCTTCCTCTGACAACAGAAAAACGGTTTGTCGTTTAAAGGATGCCTTACTTTTTTCTCTGGTTTCTGAAAATCAAAACGCAAACAATTTAACACCCAAAAGACTGGAAGACAAGGTAAGAATAATATAATCTTGCTTTTTTTTTTTTTGTTTTGTTTTTTGTTGTTTTTTTTTTTTTTCATTTCTTCATTCATTCACTCACTCATTCATTCATTGGCATGTAAAATGGACAACACAATTAATGGATTTGGTTTCACATGATATTGAAACCATCAAGACCTCAGCTGTGTCATTCTCAGTCTCCTCGACCTCATCCAATATTAATTAATTTTATGAAATAAATACATGCAAGTGTTATAGTTTAGAAACACGATGGTACTGGCACCACCTTCCTGGAAATATATCAGAAATAAAACTGAAGCCTTATATGTTTTAAAGTCACCAAATAATATTTTGTATTCTTTGAGTTGTGGAAGTTGATGGGATAATTAGATGGAAACCAGGTGGAATTCTTTTAAATAAGTGTATAAATATCCTAAATATCCATAGTTAATGATATACACTGTATTATTAATTGTCCATATTTGATTACACCCCATTTGATTATTGACCATATCTCTTTAGAAGACGTCTATGAGTTTTAGTGTGAAATAAAGACTATATTCTCATGTGATTAATCAAAATACAGAAACCATTAGGGATAAGCTAAATGATTATTAAAACACTCATTAATAATTCATAAGCTTATGGTCCAATTGGAGCCACCATACACTTCACGTGCATGAACCTTTATACCCGATAAAGTCCTCTTCATTAGTATTCAAGTGATTTTATATAAAGACACATGTGTCTTTATATAAAGACACATTTGATCTTTATATAAAGACCACTCCAATACTAT